CTCTCTATATTAACCTCTATTGTGATTCGTTCTAATTGATCTGCGACAGTAAACGAGCTGTGAACAAACATACTATGAAAATGTAATTTTGGGGGGGATGCGATCACCAAATAACGTGAAACTAAAGATCCAAAAGTTAATAAAGAATACCCAACCCAAAACACAAAGCTAACCAACAACAGTTTTCGCAACACCAGGAAGAAAAGAGTTTGCATATTAGCTCCAATTCCTTCTGACATGCTGTTTAGTTTTGGTTCGTAATTACCTAACAGCAGAAATTTCAATTTTCTCTAAATCGTAGAGGGCCTGGCCTTCAATTGAGGGGCATGTAACAGATAGTACGAGGGTCAAATTGTAAATGACAGACTTAATAGAAAACTCTCTTCATAGAAAGCGGATGGTTTCGGTCTCAAAACTATCCAATCAACAGAAATATCACACAGCAAAGGTTCAAGTAAAAAGATTTCCACCATGCGAAAAAGTTATTTTCAATGAATCTCAAACGAGTAACAATCGCTAAAGTCTTTTGTCAGTTTTCAGTAAATCTGACTACAAATGTCAGTTGTAAGTTAAATTTTCGGCCATTTGTCAGTTATTTTTTTGCTATTTGTCAGTTGTCAGTTAACCCCATTCACAGCCTCTGTTTTGGTAACTCGTGGCTCTAAGAAACTGAAAAAAGAGCACTTGTTGTCCACAAATGATTTCAGTTTGGGACGTTGCTCTTCAGTGGCCAGTGAGTGTCCCATACAAATAGTATCTCTGCATCTATTTTTTTGAAATTCTTCTGGGGGGAGGAATCCTAGCAAATGTAATGAAAATATAGCAGGCAGATTCCGCACAAGAAAGTCGACTCACTGGCAACGCAAACTGCGTAAAAGTATCTGTATAACCTCGGAGTGCTAATGTCAATAAGTTGCTGCCGGTTTCGGTAGTACGCAAAGGGAAAAAGCGCGAGGAGGAAGTCTTAACAACAAAGAGGAATGGCCCACGACTCTTTTACGAACAATAGTTACAGTGGGTGACAATTTTATAAGTAATTGGGTGGCCCCAAATAATCTGGCTCCAATACAAAACTTTTGGCTGGAAGGGTGCTGGCTGGTTTGTTTTACTATTACCGTGACGATCTGAAAACGAAAAACAAAACTTAGGAGACAAAGAGGTTTCTCTTTTTGAAGTGAAAAAACGTTCTCTGGTTAAAAAACTCAAGCTTTCGGCTATTAGTCTATAGTCTTTAACGAATGA